TGCAGAGTGCCAGTATACATGTGACAGCTGATGCACCATACAGCTAATCAATAACCAAAGCTTTACTTTACTTAGTAATTCACTAATATCCACACGTGCTGTACAATATGACACAGAACTGTCAAAAGCAAACGGTGCGTATTGAAGTTTCAGAAATGTTAACAAATAAAGGGTCAAAAGCAGAGCTGAAGATCTGCTTATTGGAAAAGTTTATGCATGTTTGTTTATACAAACAAACCATTGCCGTTAAATTTGAAGTATCTCTGACAAACACATGCAGGGCCTGCATTTGTAACGTGCTCTGCTCGCGGTAGCATTCGAAATGTGGCATTAGAAATGTACATGTTCATGTACGCTGAGAATCTGTGAGTCTGAAAGCTTATTGGCATCCACAGTGTGTGTGTGTGTGTGTGTGTGTGTGTATTATGATGGTGCACAATCAATACTGTCAGCACTGAGGAAATGAATAAGGTTCTGCTTTCCCATGACCTTACCTGATTCCAGAGCTCAGGCATCCAGCCAGCTGGTGCAGGTGATGGTGGAGGTTCAGCCCAGTTCCCACTAATTAAGGAGCCAGGTACTGGTAGAGGTGACCTTGTGTTCCTGTTGACTGGATTACATGCAGAGCTCTGGAAGCTGGTTTTCAGCCTTGTCGCACCCAAGCCTTCATGCGCTGTGACTGAACCATTACTTCAAGGTAACAGACACACGCAGGAATACTGGCAGACTAAAAAGTTCATTAGTACAGCTGTGCGTGGTGGCTGTGTATGTGATGCCTGGAGGCATCAGAGCAGAGAGATAAGGCCTGTGTGGACAGATTTAATATAACTTGTACATTTTGGTTTGTGTGTCTGTATGTGTGCTTGGGGCAAGTTCTGCACCATGTGAGGGATTTAGAAAGATGAGCTTTTCTCTCACTTCTTTCTCCAGGGTGGTCTCATTTGCACAAACCTACAGAGAAATTCGTTTTACCATAAAAATGGAAACACGTAGGCTGAATATAACAGCTCACTCCAGCTGATGGAAGCAGCTTCTGTATATATGTTCCTTCTTCCTGATGTTGCTGTCATGTGGTATCGCCACGTCTATCGCTACGGCCATCTTCTTCTGTTTGTCTACCACCACTATGTCCGTCTGTCCCACAGGAACTTAGTTCTCCCATTTTGACCTCGGGACTTCCAGGTTATACTCGGCACAGATGTTCCTGTACACTATGCCGGCCAC